AGGGGTGTATAGACCTGTGTTCTGCTTTTTCTGCTTACCCAATTGACAAATGTTACAAGCACTAACAATCTTAGCCACGTCTTTCTTCAAGCTAGGTCAATAGAATTGACGTTCAACTTCCTTTGTGGTCTTATCACGTTCAAAGTGACCGGCTAACCCTCCCGCGTGAATTTTCCACACGATGAAATCTCGCACTGAAGTTCGAGGGATGCATAATTTATTAGCTCTAAAGAGGTAACCCTCCTCAAGTCGGAAGCCATCTGTGGTGCTTGATTGTCCTCTTTGTAAATGGAGGAAGATATCTTTAAAATCGGGACACGACTCGTAATCCTCTTTAAGTCTTTCAAAACCGATGACCTTGACACTCATGATTGACAAAAGGGAGACACGACGACTTAACGCATCAGCTGCTTGGTTTTCTACGTCCTTCTTGTGTTTTAAAACAAATGAATAGGCCTGTAAATATTCGACCCAACGACCATGCCTAGAACTTAATCTTTTCTGGGAGTTGAGGTAACGGAGGGCCTCGTGATCGGAATAAAGGACATTCCTGGGGTAATAAATAGTGGCGCCAATAGCGCAAAGCCTGGATCACTGCATACAGTTCCTTATCATAAGTTGAGTACCGCTGTTTGGCCTCATTTAACTTTTCACTGAAATAGGCAACAGGGTGACGATCCTGACTTAAGACTCCGCCTATACCTACCCCGGAGGCGTCACATTCAACTTCAAAGACTTTGGAAAAATCGGGAAGACGCATGACAGGGGCCTGCGTCATTTGCTTCTTGACTAACTGAAAGGCCTTAGCCGCCTCTCGTGTCCAATGAAACTCCCCTTTCTTCATGCACTTCGTAATAGGCGCCATAATAGTGCTAAACCCCTTAATAAAGCGACGGTAGAATGTAGCTAAGCCGTGAAAGCTTCTGACGTCATGGATAACTTTAGGCTCAGGCCAGTCAATAATCGCCTGAACCTTAGCAGGGTCAGCGAATACCCCTGTCGAAGAGACAATGAATCCCAGAAAAACAACTGTGTCGGTGAAGAAAGAGCACTTCTTGACATTCGCATATAGATTAGTTACACGAAGGGTAGAGCAAATTTGCGTGAGGTGGTCAAGGTGTTGCTCCTTAGTCTTACTATAAATGAGGATATCATCAAAATAGACAACAAGAAACTTGCCCATAAAAGGTCGGAGAGTTTGTGTCATTACTCGCATAAAGGTACTTGGCACATTGCTGAGCCCAAATGGCATGACTAGCCATTCATAAAGACCATCTTTCGTCTTAAACGCGATCTTCCACTCATCACCTGGGCGAATTCGAATTTGATGGTATCCACTCTTCAGATCAATCTTCGAAAAGATTGTGGCACCAACCATCATATCTAACATATCGTCAAGTCTAGGAATTGGAAAACGATACTTCACCGTGATCCTATTGATCGCGCGACTATCCACACACATTCGTCAAGAGCCATCCTTTTTGGGCGTCAATAGGGCGGGGACCGCACACGGGCTTAGACTCTCACGAATGAATCCCTTGTGAAGGAGATCATCCACTTGCCTTTGAAGTTCAACGTGCTCGGTAGGATTCATCCTATAATGAGGCAAATTTGGGAGGGATGTCTCTGGAACGAAGTCTATGGCATGTTGAATAACTCTCAGTGGAGGTAGATGATCAGGGAGGTCCTCTGGAAAGACATCTCGAAACTCTTGGAGGACCGATAGGACCTCAACAGGGCTCTCTATTGCGGAGTGTGATGGGACCTCCATGACCACCAAAGCGAAGACAACTGAGTCACCAACAAGTGTACGCTCAAACTCCGTAGGACTAATGATATGCAATTCCTTTCGTTCCACACTTTTCTTCGTTTCCAGTGGGCCAACAGGCTTCGAAGGCAGTGGGTTAAGGTGAATCTTCTTTCCATTAAACACAAAGGAGCAGGAATTGGATCGACCGTAGATGGTGACATCTAGGTCAAATAACCAAGGTCGTCCCAAGATGATGTGCCCGACGTCCATTGAAATGACGTCACACCATATATGGTCCTTATACTCGAGAAACTGGATAGGGACTAAACAACGCTCCTTGACAGCTATGGAGGAGGTATCAACCCAAGAGACGCTGTATGGCTGAGGGTGAGGAACAGACTTCAACCCTAGACGGGATACAGTAGCCATCGAAACCGCATTAATGCAGCTGCCACTATCCACGATAACTTTACA